AGCGGGAAGGTCGCAGGACTCCTGTGGCTCTGCCAACCACCAAAGGAACCCATTCCCCACCAGGGGGACCCCTGAAGAGCCTTAGAGGCCTCCCTGCAGGCTGGGCCAGGCAAAGTGGGAGCCACAGCTTCCAGGCCTGGTCCCCCCAGCTGTGTGACCCGGATCACCCATCGTGCTCTGGGGCTCAGGCCACCTGTGAAACACAGCTATCACTGGCCTGCTGCCCACCCCGCCAGGGTGTCACATACACAGGCTCAGATTAAGGAAGCGACTGGAGAGCTGTTTGCAACAGTAACCGTCCGAAGTCTCTGCGTGGTTGGAAGGCAGTGTTGATCCCACACACTCATTCAGCCAATTGTTTTCCTGTGTTCTACCCCACAAACTGCTCTCCGTGTGCCCCCTGACCTGGTGTGAGGGCTCGCCTTACCCCCTTTCCAGTCCCTGTCTCTGGCTACAAGCATGTGGTGAGACATGATAGCCAGAGAGATCTGGGCAAGACACCCAGGCCCACTAGCTCAGGAGACAGAGCAAATACAGGAAGGGAGGAACCCTGTCCGGAAGTCGAGAATCTGTGTGACTGAGAGCAAGTCACTTGTTCTCTCTGGTCATGTTTCCTCATTTCTAAGTTGACTGGAAATCATCTCTAAGCTCATTCCTTGCTGAAGATTCTGGGATCCTGTCATTGGAAGAACTGGGTCTGTTTCAAAGGTCAGTCAAGTTCTTAATTAGAGAGTATCATCCCCTCCATTGACTTTACCAGGGCTGCTGACCAGTAGAAGCAGCAGAAGTGGGACTCCCCGAGTCTCTGCTGAGCCGGACTGGGAACTAGACCGCTCAGGGGCTGTTGACTGACCAGGTACCAGGTTCATTTTGCTCCCCACGCAGCAGCCAAAACACTGAGGTGCTGAGGTTTACAGCAGAGAGGGGGCTTGTTCACAAGGCAGCCAGGGGTAAGGAAGCCTCACTTATACCTCCCCACAGGCAAGGGGCTTAGGGCACTTAAGCGATAAAGATGCAGGGTAGCCTGAGGCACAGGGAGCATGGGGAAAGGTGAGGTGACGGATGTTCTGCACAGGTGTCACTAGGCTACGGGCATCAGCGCGTTGGAAAATGGAGGCATCAGGCACCACCTAAGGGTGGCTGCGAGCCCTCTGACATCAGAGGTCACTGGGCAGACACTCGTGCAGGCCCAGTGTGAGGGGTTGGTGGTCCTGTCCAGTCTTAACCAGCTCACCTCCAAGATGCAGCAGACTCCAAGTTCCTGGAAAATAACTCGGGCAAACATCTTACTGTTTAGGCTACATGCTGCATGGAGGACGTGCAAGCCTTTTGTAGATAACCTTGACTAGTGAAGGCAGGTGACATGGAATTTTGACTAATCGTTACCCACGGTTTCAGGGCTGCAGCAGAGCCAGTGTTCTTCGATCATTCCCACCTGACCAACACAGCAGCACAGGGAACACTGGTGTTTCTATCAGGCCTGACCAACATTTTTGATATGCTAGTAAGTCCTAAGAGAAGCCAATCCTTTACCTGTGGGTATGCATGGGCCTATACCTAAAAATACACAGAGAAATCTGAAACCTCTCTTACCTATATATCTCTCTCTCCCCTGGAAGAGGGCATGGCAACCCACTCCAGTATTCTTGCCTGGAGAATCCCCATGGAGGGAAGAGCCTGGCGGGCTATAGTCCATGGGGTCACACAGAGTCAGACACAACTGAAGTGACTTAGCACATATATATATATATGTGTGTGTGTGCATGTGTGTATATATATATATATATATATGAATATATAGAGAATCAAAAAAAGTAGAATTATGTGATACAACATAGTTTTGGTGGTTAAAGAATTGGCCTGCAATATAGGAGACCTGGGTTTGATCCCTGGGTCGGGAAGATCCCCTGGAGAAGGCAATGGCTACCTACTCCAGTATTCCTGCCTGGAGAATTCCATGGACATAGGATCCTGGTGGGCTACGGTCCATGGGGTCACACAGAGTTGGACAGGACTGAGCGACTAACTCTGTCTTCTTTTTGGTTCCTGAGCATCTTCAGTGGTGTAAGGGAAACAGAGACCTGGCTCACAGTGGTGATCCTCAGTTTGCTGACAGGTAACGAGTGGTGCCTCAGTACCAGCTAGGAGCAGCATTCCTGCATCCTGCTTACACTGGGTGAACCTCTGGAGGGTCATACTTATTTCTGGGTCCTAAGTTTTGAGAAGGATACTTCAAATCAGAGGTTGACAAGTAACATTAGCTCAGGTGGGTCGGAGCCTGGAAAGCACATGAGTGATGGCTGAAAGAACTGGGCACTCAAGAGTCTAAATAGAAACACAGATTAGCACAGAAAAAGAGTTGAGTTTTTACCAAAAACCGAAGTAGAAGGAAGAAAGATTAGTTACAATGGTCATGCCCATATCCACCCATACGGTTTCATGCTTGGGTCTCTTTTCTCTTTTTTTAGGGTGGGGGGGGTCTCTTTTCATTCAGGCTGCTCCCCTCAGTGTTCATTCCATCTATCTGCTAATGTCTCCCAAACCCATGTTCAGCCAAGACTTCTCTGGAGCTTCTGACCTGTATATCTAACTCCCTCCTGGCCACCTTGACCTGGTTGTTCTCATCATACCAAGCTCCACATGTCCTAAAGTAAACTCTTCACCACATCCATGACCATATTTGGAAGGGCTTCAACTTTTATGGGCTGCATTTTTATTGACCACATCTGGAAGGCAAAGAAGGGTATGGAATGTGTCATTTATAACTAAACTCCACTGTGGTGGTTACCATTTGCCTCTATCCTTAGAATGAAGTGTTTTCAACTTAGTTGCTCATCAGAATCTCCTGGGACATTTTTAGAAAATGCAGATTTTTTTCCCCAGGCCCCACCTGAAATTCCATGAATCAGAATCCCATGAATTTTAACTTTTATTTTCTTTCAAATTTTGACTCCCACTAATGAGGTCAACAAAAGTCAACTATGCTAATTAACAATTCATAAATATCACCACTGAAAATTTCTTTCTCACATTTATTGCAGTCAGTAGGAAAGATCAGGGATTAATTTTGAGGGAATGAATGCCTTGGCTCTTATTACCACCTTTAACCGGAAAACACACTGCTCAACCATTCTCTTAAAATGTAGCAACTCTGGGAAGAATTATTCACTTGATGCCTTCAGAAAGAATCTGCCCTTCATCTGGCCTCTCTGAGCATCAGGTGCTTCACTGCACAGTATCAATTTGTTCTCACAATAATTCTGTGCTTTGAAGCAACTCCCAAATCACTAACTGGCCCCACCCACTCCAAACTGGACGCTCAGGGGCAGGAAAAGAAAGGGCAGGAGAGCCAGAACAGGCAATGAAAGGTGCCAACGTCCATGCGGACCCACACCATCTTTCAGTGGGCTCCCATGCTGCCCCTTGGCTTGGGGGTGGCCCTGAGTTTCTGGCCCCAGACTTGCTTCTCCTGATAAGAATCTGTCATTTTGGAGCCTTGATGCACTGCTGGCTACCTTTCTGTACGTTTGATAGCTTTCCCCTTTGAACAAACAAAACATAGTTATGTTCAACTTGTGGGTGGGCTTCCCTTGTGGCTCAGTTGGTAAAGAATCCGCCTGCCATGCAGGAGACCTGGGTTCGATCCCTGGGTTGGGAAGATACCCTGGAGAAGGGAAAGGCAACCCACTCCAGTATTCTGGCCTGGAGAATCCCATGGACTCTATAGTCCATGGGGTCACAAAGAGTCAGACACGACTGAGCAACTTGCACTTTCACCTTGCAGGCAGGGTGGTGGGGTGGGGTGGGGTGGGGATAGGTAAAATGTACGCAGTTCTAAATGGTAGGTCATTGCCAAATTATTTAAATACCAGCATGGGAATGTAATCAGAAATGTGCTAGAATTTACCTCCCTTTCCATGTCAGCCGCTCCCTGGTTATGTATACGCTGCACCCCACTCTCAATCCTTTTGACCTGTGCCCCACCTTTTTCTCTGCTTCTTATATATTAGAAGAAAGAAGCAATTATTTTTACATTTTTATTATACATACTCTGAATTAGCTATTGACTCACACTACTTCTCCTTTCTTCATCTTGTCACATACAGGAGCACAGAATTTGCACGCCAAACCAAGTTTCTAACGAGCAGGCAGTGTACTGTGGTGACTGGAAACCATCACTCATGACATTATATACAGTAAGTGGGGAGGGGCAGATGTGGACACTGCCGTTTCATGTCAGTATGCTGTAGCCATATTTTGCTGATAGCCTAATTCCTGATACTTCTTTAATTTTCTTTTTTTTTTTTGAAGTAAGAGAAATCATTTTAATATATACATTTTCACTTCAGTCAATTCAACAATGATTTCTAATAGGCATGCAGACCCATTTAGTTTGCTTAAAATTTATTTCTCAACATGCAGCAACCTTCCTAATGAGATAGTTAAGTTGAACTATTTATTCCTGAAGAGTACAATGTACCTTGTCCTCAAAGAGTTTTATCAACTTTAACATTTTCAAAGAGCCCTATGAGGCTGCTCAATATGGTAGTTTTCCCCTGAAATTTCCTATTTGGAGGATGGCAAAACAGTCTAGGATCTTTCCCAGTCTACTGGTTGCTTGTATTCATATCACAGCGTGGTTGGCTAAGAGGTAGAGACTGAATAATATGTAGATAGCCTTCAAGCCCAGCTGAGTGAGACAGCTTCATTTTTAGAAAGGAAACCAAATCATGAAAGCCCTCCTAATAGTATGATTTGTTCCAGGGTTCTTTTAAGAAGGGACGTAATCCTCATGCACAGGACTCTTTGTGGCCTTCTAGAGTTTTCTGCTCCAGCCACTGTTCTCTAGCCAGGTGACTTATTGCACTTGCTGCAGAACTGAAAGCATGAAGTCTCTGTCTACTTGCATAATTAGAGGCGGTGTTAATCTTCTCATTTCCGGCCAAATGGATCCGACCACACTTTCAACCCTGGTGGCTGCACGTCTTCTTGAACAATACCAGCTCGATTAATGGTTTGTTCTTCTTGTACTGCTCCAGCCGCATTAAGGACCGGAAGTAGATGGGTAGAAGGCGGCGCCGATCAGGGAGATGAAGCCACCGAAAACGAGAGCAGTGCGCAGGTTCCGGGACATGGCTCCAGCCGGGGGCTGCCCGGATTCTCCGAGTGCCCGGGACTCTCTTAATTTTCTGACTTTTAGTTACAATTCCTTTGGAGCCACTTGTGGAGAGATGTGTGTTTTCCTCACTTTTATCACTCATGTCCATATTCATTTCTAGTGTATTATACTGTCTACCACATGTACCCAACTTTGATAAGGTTCTTATGGGGTCATGTTGTCTGAGGTAGTGATTACTGTTATTTTCCTTTTGGTCACAAAGCAGTTTGGTGTATAGTGATAATTTTTCACAAATATTATTCCTATCATCTGCAGGGATTTAACTATTAATTTAAAATTAAATAGTACTTACAATTTCCTATCATAAGCCATAATAGAAAAGAAAAAGAATGTATATGTGTAACTGAATCACTTTGCTGTCCAGTAAAAATTGACACAACATTCTAAATCAACTATACTTCAGTAAATTTTTTAAAAATTAAATAATATTTAAAGATTTACAATATAAAATAAAATTAGTGAGAGTATGGATGAAATGTGATTGGCCACATCTGTAATTATTGGGGCTGGATGAGGGGTACATGGAGATTCACTGTACTTTTCTCTATACTTGTGAGTATGCTTGAGAATTTCCACAAGACACACAAAATATTGTGAGAATTAACACAATAGTGTTAACAAAAAAGTTTATGACAAAAATAGCTGCCCCTTATTCACTTTCTACCTATTCTTTATTCTTCAGTCCCTTCAATTCTTTTTGCCATTTCTTTGGACATTTATCTTTGTATTTTTTAACAATGCTTCTGGAGCTGTGTCTTGATTTATCGACATACTAAGTTAAGTATTTGGCATGCTTAATCTCCCCTCCCAAACAACCATTACAGTGGTTAGCACCATGTCTGGATAAGCTGATTGTCAGGTTTCCACTATTATAATTATGTAAATATTTTAACTTCAGAGCCATGTAGTATACTCTGATTATGATTCTCTTCCTGTAAAACATTTCTTTTCCTCCTGAATATTATAATAGACTTGTTTTTATTGTTTAGTTTTCCATGTCTAGCATCCCACTCCAGTGGCTCTAAATACAACATTCCGCATTTGTCAAATCTATACAGAAGCCTAAAATTACAACTTTTCCCTAGCTGTTTTTCCTCCTGGAGCTCTCATCTCTGGCTTCCCACTGGACAGTGCCTTCCTGGGACTCCTTTTGACTGTATTCTGGGCATATCTGTCATCTACCTTCTATGCTGGATCTCCTTTTTCTATATCCCATGTCTTCGGGGTCAATGCTTCTGCTTTCGTGAACCACATCCTCTGATAGCTTTTTGAGAATAAATGTATAGGAAGAGAATTTTTTGAGACTATGCATCCAAAAAGGTCTTTGTTCTGCCTCACATGTGATTGACGGTTTGGCTGTCAAGATGGAAAGAGTTTATCTTTAGAATTCTGAAGGAATTATTCTTTTCAGAGACTTTGCTATTGAGAAGCCTGATGCTATGATGATGGCAATTCTCTGTATATTAACTTTTCCTGGAATTTTTTATTCATGTGAAATTTCACAGTAATGTGCAATGGTGCTTTCCTCGTTATATGGAGAAGAGTCAGGTCCTGGCGTCTACTTGTTCTTGGTATAGATTTTCCACTGACCCCTCCCCCTACCTTTCACTCTACACCCATTCATTTGGTTTCCTCTAATTCCTGACTCTTTCTAACATTCTGCTGTGCAAATTAGCTTACTTCTTATTAGCAGACCCCACTGTAAGCATGTATTAATAAATTTCAGCTGTCACCATTTTGCTTAGTCAATTAACACTTCTCCATCTTTTTATTCTACCAAAATTTTGTGATTTTGTCAACATTCCTTAGACACTATTCTCTCTTCTGTTCCCTTTGCCCTTAATGGTACTCAAAAAAAATTTTTTCCCCTTACTGCCATTTTAGAGGAATTCTGAGGAGGTGCAAAGATAACCAAAAGAACAGTCTAAATCACTGTATTTAATAGAAAATCTTCCACAATATTTGATGAATGCCTCATAAATGCTATTTTTATCACATTATAAAATTTCAGTGTTTTTATGTAATTATTATCCATATACTCATCTTTACCATTAAAGCTTCACTAGAACTTGCTTTTGATATCAACTTCCAAACTTGACATAGTACTAAGAAGTTGCTATTATCTAATTTTCTTTTTTTTGTATAACTGCTAAATTTTTGTATATTTTCTAAACAACTGAATCAAAATAGATCTGTTTGGCCAGGTCACTGGCCTAGTAATAGCTAGTGACGTCCAATATAATATAAATGTATGTATTTAACACCTCACTACTGAAAGGGTGACCAGTACCACTGCCAGTATCTGGGAGCTTGTTAAGAAAAGTGGACTCTCAGGCTCCACTCTATAAACTACTCAATCAGAATCTGTGTTTTAACTAGATCCCCAAGCAATTCACAAACACATTAAAGTTGGAGAACTAGTCTAGTATTTCACCAGAGCCTGCTTCTCTCTCATGTCTCCACTCCCTGCTCCCACTTTCAGAAGTACCCATGACATTTTCCTTTCAGATACCTTAGAATCTGAGTATGATGAAAGTTACCTTTCCTATCCCTCTGCCATCCTCATGGGTCTGTCCCAGAGGGTCTCCTCCAAGTCTCTGCTCCTCAAAAAGGGAAAAGCCTCAAAAAGTACAGGCTCTAGAGCCATGCTAGTTGGGTTCATTTAAACTCTGACTCTACTCATTACTATAGATGGGACCTTGGGCCAGCACACTGCGACACTGTGCCTCAGTTTTAGGTGTAATAGGAATAGTATTGTCATGCATGTTAGCTATTATCCTCTGAAATCAAGGCCTTAACAGCTGAGTATTTAGGAATTTCTCCTCGTCTTCTGCTGATGGTGCTTCTATCACAAGATGGTTTATTCATTTGGACTTCTGCTACTGAATCAACTAGTTCCACCTTCATCTGGGGATGATTTCATAAAACTTCCTGAATCAACAGAGTCCCCAGGCTTTTTGGACTTGGAGTGTCCACCTGGTAAACATACGTGAATGAATCTCCTGTTAGAAGCTTTAAGAATGAGGCAGCCATCTTCTTCAAGGTTCAACAATATTCTGAGGAAAGTGAGCACAGGGAACAATCCGGGAAGGAGACAGTTGAAGGAGAAAGCCAGAAGAATTTCAGCACTGGTGGGAGGAAAGGGGGAAATGGGGACATATATTGTCTAGTGGAGAGTTGTCTGGTAACTTAATTTTCCCAACAGAACATGATGTTCGCTGTAGGTTTTCCACAGATGCACTTTATCAAATTAAGTTTTCTTCTATTCCTAGTTTCCTCAGAGTTTTAAGTCATGAATCAGAGTTGAATCCTGTCAAATGTCTGTCTGCATGTATTGAAGTGATCATGAGGGATTTCCTTTATTTTATTATGGTAGATTATAGTAACTGACTCTTCTAATTTTAAAACGACCCTGCATTCTGAGATAAACTCGACTTGGTCATAAGGTATTATGTTCTTTATATACTGCTGGATTCAACTAGCTAATAGTTCAATAATTTCTGTATCTATGTTCATGATGTATATTGGTATGGCCACTTTCTTTCCTTGAAATGTCTTTGGCTCGTTTCGCTATTGGGGTAATACTTGTTTTCATTTTTTTTAAAAAATAGGGTAAGTATTCCATTTGCCCCTATTTTCTGAAAATCTCTGTAGAATTAAAGCTTTTTACTCCTTAAATGTTTGCTAGAATTCACCAATAAAGCAAAGTGGACCTGGAGTTCTTTTGTATGAAAATTCCTGATAATTTCTTTAATATTAAAACTATTCACATTTTCTGTCTTGTATCAGTTCTAGTAAGCTGTATTTTTCAAGAAATTTGGTGACTTTAATTTATTGGTTTAAATTTGTACATAATATTCCTTATTGTCCTTTTAACATCTGAAAGATCTAAATAACATTCTTGATTTCATTCCTGATAGGGATAATCTGTCTTTTAGGTTTTTCCATCACTTTGCTAGAGGTTTAATTTTATTAATATTCTCAAAGACCAACTTTTGGCTTTGTTAACTGTATTACCCTGTTTTCAATATCACTGATTTTTGCTCTTGCTTTTAATATTTCTTTCTTCTACTTACTTTGAATTTTATTGCTCATTTTTTCCCCCTCTAGTCTGCTCTTTTAAATATATAAATATTTAAAGCTATAAAAGTAAGGAAGCAAGTACAATTTTACTGATTTGGCCTTTTGTTAGCTTATTTCTCTGGATTATTAAATCTTGAAAAAAATTTCTAAAATTTTTATAGGTAAATATTTTCAGGATAATCAGTAAATTCTACCATGGAGAGAGTATGCACGTAAACATAAAAAATGATTATAAGAATATACAAAGCCTAGTTAGCATTCCTGTTACATAACCCCTGGTTTTTCATTCCATTCCAAGCTGGATATGTGTTTATTCTAAAGATGCTTGAATTTTAAGAACTCTCAGTTCCTGTTTTGGATGCTATGTTGTAATTACCAATGACTCATTCACCAAGTTTTTGGATATAAATGAAGGTGAGGTATGACTTCAGTTCATTTTAATGCTTTGACTACACTAACTGCATCACTGGTACACTGTAAAGATTAAATTTTCCTGTTATGAAGTTATCTACATTTATGTAATAAGTCGTCTTTAGTTATTGCTCATACAAGCTTTACATATATATATATATATATATATATTAAGCTTTTTATATTCATCTTTGGAGATCTATCTCCCTTTTAAATAATTCATTTTTGAGTTCTAGTTTTTAAATACTGAAAAGGGTAAATGCATACAGGTGGCGCAGTGGTCAAGAAATCTGCCTGCCAGTGCAGGAGATGTGGGTTCAATCCCTGGGTCAGGAAGACCCCCTGGAGAAGGAAATGGCAACCCACTCCAGTATTCTTGCCTGGGAAATCCCACAGACAGAGCCTGGTGGGCTATAGTCCATGGGGTCATAAAGAGTTAGACATGACTGAGTGAGCACACACGCACACACAATAGTACCAAAAATGATTTTCACCATAAAATTCCTTTAAGAGTTCTCTTTAAAGGAATTATTGTACTATCAAGTGAAACTTTTTCAAACTCAATCCGTGAAGATATTCCTTCTTAAATATACATACAACCAAATGAATTTCTGTATATTTCAGAGATAATAAAATATTTTTGCTAATTTATCTCAAAACATAGGTATTAGTGACCTTCTCTAATTAGGTCAGGTAGTAGGGAAAAAACCCAATGCTTTTTTTTGGTTGTGCTGGGTCTCAGTGTTGCTTGGACTTTCTCCTGTTGCAGTGAGCAGGCTTCTCATCGCAGTGGCTTCTCTTGTTGTGGAGCAAGGCTCTAGTGCATGGGCTTTAGCGGCTGCACACAGGAGCTCATGAGTGGTGGCTCACAGGTCCAGAGCGTGGGGGCTCAGTAGTTGTGGCTCATGGACTTAGTTGCCCAAGCTATGTGGAATCTTCCCGGACCAAGGATCAAATCTGTGTCCCCTGCATTGGCAGGCAGATTCTTATCCACTGTACCACCAGGGAAGTCCTCTGATAAATTTTCTATTTAGCATAAGGTTAGGTTGGAAGAAAAGGCTTTTGATTTTAAAGGCCAAATGGAAAGCTATTTTATTTTGTGAGCCAAGAGAGGATACACTTCAGTGGGACGAAAACTGTACCTATCAAGATGACTTTTGCTCCTGACAATTTGACCTTTTTTTAAAAAAAGGTAAACATTTAAAAATCATATATCATTTCAGCATCTTATTTTTAAGAAATCCAACATTTTGGCATAAGACAAATTTATACAATTAAACTCTTCAAAACATAATATGGCATATATTATTTTTCCACAGGGCATCAGATACTAACAGATATAGACCACTTTGTTAAATAACAAAAATCATATGAAAATCAACACAGTATTTCATTTATTTACTGTATAAGTCTGGCAAACAGCACAAAAATTCAGCAACATTTCAAACATGTAAAAAAGTCAAATGTTGAACAGTACTGAAAAATTTTTTTTTACATAATTAGTAATAATGAGTATACATGTAGAGTTCTGCAAAGCTAGCAAATTCCAAGGGTGCTTGGCTTCTGAACATATACCACAAAAACACATACACAAAAGCAATATAATTTATCTTTATAAAAATTATAGCCAAGCAATAAAAAAGGATGATAATAATGAAGATAATAATACATATGTTCACTACATATATCTTATACATTGAAATGCTACATCTTGTACCCTGAAATGCCATGTGTAGAGAGCCAAGCAGAGTAAATTTAGGCTCATCACTGAGGTTAAGAATTATTTAAGAATTTAATGCTTGTATATGTAACATACTCAAAACTTTCTATATAGCAATTCCTAGATTATAACAATGTATTCCACTGAGAAGCTGAGTCTTCTTTGTTGGCAGTATAAAATTTTGACCATATCAAAATTCTGGTAAAACACACACTGAAGGCATTGTCTAGTGTATGTAATGTTTGGGGGCATTAATGAATGTAGGAGAAATTCTTAGATTTCACACTAAATTTCAGCTGAGCTTTGTCAAACCAAACAGCTCAACTGTAAGGCAAGAAAAATTAACCCTCTGTGAGAGATTAGTGGGCCTTACCAAATAAAGATAAGAATTCAGTCTTAGGGAAAGACTCCCTACATAAGCAGATATGAAACAGTGGGCACTTGAAACGAACTTCTAGAAATGACCTAACATCTTGACATTCAGACACTGGTTCAGAAGCAACAATCTGTTGGTATATTTTATCTAATTAACATTTTACAATCAGCACCAGTCCCCAAAACCTCAAATTATAATATTTAATCTTCATTAAAATACATCCTTTTGTGCTATATTAATATAATCAAATTAATGAAAGTTGAACTTACTCAACTTACTATATATTTTTGTGTATGCAGGGTAACAAATCTTTTTATTTACTTGTGCTTCTGTTTTGGGGTACTTTGATTGAAGAGAAATTCATTTCACAGGATTACATCTTGCTAAAGCATTCCTTAGCATTGGTCCAAACTTGAATTCCCTTTTAAAACAAACCAAAAAAAAAAAAAGGCCCCAAAACCTTAAAATGTAATTTTGGAAGGATTTTGAAAGGCCAAGTACTTGGCTTACTGGTATGTTAGGTTTCAACTTTTGGAATAATTAATAAGTACAACAAACAGAACACTTTTTCTGGCAATGGCAAATATAAGTCAAAGTGAAATACTTGTGAAAAAAGTAATAGAATCATTGTATGAGCCTGTTTTCAAAACAGATACAGAACTCCTACTTCTTTTTGAAAGACTCATTTACTCATATCATATATTCATATCATTTCTACTTATAAAACAAACAAGTTTTGCAATATCTAAAACAAAAAAACCTGATTAGTCTAACAATTAAATATTATTAATTTATTAACCTAATAACCAATATTTTGATAAAAAGTTATGAACTCCCTCTCAGTGGTTACAGCAGGCTATTTAGCAAAAACTAACATGCTATTATATACCTAATAGGCTTAAACAAAAATGCATGTTTGTAAAAAATGTAATAGTAAAATCTAGACAGTGGTGGAAGGTATGTTTTCAACAAACAAGATATATATATATCCTGTTTATATATATATATATTCTTCAATAACTGCTAATTTATCAAGAAATTTTAATACTTACACATTAAAGTTAATCAATATTTATTGAGGCTTTGAAAAATAGGAAAAAAATTAATCTTTTTAGCTTTTTTTCCTCCCTGATGAAACACAAAAAGAAAAACAAAACAAAACCACACAAGAATCCTTTAATGTCCCAGACTGACTTACTAAATGATTTACTGAGATAAAGCATGCTGAATCACTCAATAAATTAAGAAGCACTAGAGAAATGTAAAGCACCAGTACTGACTGGTGATCACACAGGCAGCTCTGGGGTTCTGAAAATGAGGTTAAGGAATATTATACATTTTGTTCTTACAACATCATTTTAAAAAATTTCCATCACTGCCAAAACACTTATTTTAACCAGAATAAGCTTCAGTGTTCATACCTTATACGAGAGGTATCAGTGACATGTTTATTAATACACGCTTTCATGTGTATCTTTTCAAACTCATTTGTATACATACAATCATTTAAAAAATACACACTTTCCTCTTTCCCACAAAAACAGGATTGCATTATATGCACTAGTGTGTAGCCTGTTTTCTCATCTGCCGTTCTATTAGGACATCTCATTAGGACAGTACATGTGAGATCCATCTTATTAGGACAGTGCATGTGAGATCCATCTTATTAGGACAGTGCATGTGAGATCTATCTTGCCTTTTCTAACACTGAATACTCCATTAGATACTACTCTATCTAAACCCTAACGTTTAGACCATTTTTCAATGAAAGTATGTATCGCTGTTAGGAATGGTATTTTACTGCCCTGTTCAAGAATATCACATAACCATAGTAATGTTTTTAGTACATATTTTCAAATACAAGTAAAAACAGGGCATACAAATTTGGAACTTTAGATGAGTGGAGACTTGGTAATTAAGATTTTAATTATGACACTTCTTTCAAAATTAAGTAGAGAAACTGGGAAACATTCTGGAAGAGAAGAATGGACTTTAAAAATAAAAATGATATACACTTTGTTCCAAATAAGAAACTGATTTTAAAGAAATTTGGCAGCACTTCTGAATATACTCGTACCTTCAATGAAACCAAAACCTACCTTTTTGCACATACTGATCTGCATGACTGCGTAGCTGATGAGGGCCTCCTTTAAATCATGGTTCTTTTGTTCTTTGAAGCGTTCAATATCAGCCCAAGCATTTTTGACAAACTCTCTGAAATAAAGGGTATAGTCATCATTATTATTCTTATTTAAATTAAATAAACTACATATTATTAATTCAAATAAACACTTCTCATCTGAGTTGGGTTTTTGTCTATAAAGTGAGAGAAAAAGCAGACAGTCATACACTCTTCTACATTTTAATAGTCTCTTTTACCATGAATTCCAGCTTCAAATTATTCCTGTAAAACAGATGTAAATGGCTCCTTGAACCAACTTACAAGCCAACAGATGCCGCATGAACTTACCTGCCTGGAGTCACTGCAAAACATACAGTCTTTTCAACAAGATGGATTATGTATCACATTTATCATGTATTTTCTTTAAATGACAACTAGAGTTTTAAAAGTTCTGAGAGCCATTTGTCTTTTTTTTTAAACATGTGATCCATTTGTCTTTTTAACTCTGTTCATGAGTTAACTTTGACTTACTTGACACCAGCAGTTTCAAAAATTAACAAAACCACCTCCAAATCAGTGAAACTCTTAGTCTGCCTTGATCTACTCAACAACTGTCAAAACTGACAAAAACAACATGAAAAATGCGCCCAAAAGTCCATGGCAGATCTCTGAGAAGTGAATTTCTGAAAATATTTATGGAATAATTATATTCTAAGTCATATGCAAGGTGCTGGGACATAAAGATGAAGAAGACACAATCACTGTGTCTTTGAAGGGCTTGTAATTTAGCCAGAGACAGTCACACTGTACAAAGTGCCGTGGGATAAGGGCATTAACCAAGTGCTGTGACAGCCTGTGAGGATAAGAGAAGGCTTAACAAAGGAAGCAGTTCAAGAGCTGGGCATTGCAGAATGATGAGGCTTTTAACTGACAGAATAGAGTAGAGGAAATATGCAAAGGATAGAAATCATGTAAAGTGCAAGAAAATAATATTATGAAGTTTAAACACTTCCTTCTTCCCCTTTCCCCAACACTAACACAACTGTTTCTGTGTAACATGATTTTTGATTACTCAAATTTCTCAGGAATAGTCAATCACTGTATTTTAGAAGATTGAGGCTACATCCAGGGACTGATGAAGCTAGGAATCGTTATAAGCCACCTGCCACAGAGCCTAAAGTCTAGCCATGTTAAACATCCCAGCATTTTTACCTGCCTTCCAGATTTTTAGACTTAAGTTGTTGTTCTCCTTCCTTTATTTGTTCTTCTAGCATCTTTATTCTGGCTTCTCTCTGCTCTGGAGTTTCTTGACCGAAGAGCTGGGTAGTCACTCCCTTCAAAGAAAATGTTCTCACAGTCTAAAATGAAACAGAAACAGATGAATGGATAAATAACATCCATACACTGAAATATTTTTCAGTCTTAAAAAGGAAGAAAATTCTGACACACGCTACAATATGGATGAACCTTGAGGACACTGTGCTAAGTAAAATAAGCCAGTCACAAAAAGACAAATACAGTACAAGTCTACTTACATGAAGTATCCATAGTAGTATAACTTACAGAGACAGAAAGTGGAATGGTGACTGCCAAGGGCAAGGTGACGAGGGAAATTAATAGTTGATATTTAATAAGTACAGAGTTTCAATTTTGCGAGATGAAGAGTTCTGCAGGTTTGCTGTACAACAATGTAAATGAACTTACTACTACTGAACTTGAAAAATGGTTAAAATAATAAATGCTATGTTCTGTATATTTTACCACAAATTTTTTTTAAAGAGGACATAGTCATTTTCCCCCTACCTCAGACAGAACACCACAAACCATACAACCAAGGGGCTACTATTAAGGCTTATAATACTAGAAAATGTTGAAGAATCAAAAAAGGAAAAATTTTAACTGAGCTTCTTCATCATATAGAAAACTTCCAGGTGAAATACTAGGCAAGTTATTTATGTCAGCAGTCATATTTTTTCAATTATTCTGTGATCATAAAAAATGGATAAAATTCAACAGGCAACAACGACAATAAACCAAACTGAAAAAACCATTTAAAATCTGCATAATTCACACTAAAACTTGGTTATCTATTAATAAAACAGAATGACTAAACCCAAGCCTCAAACGTCACCATCTCTTCACTCTCTGGAATTTACTGAAGGAAACGCTTTTCCCTGCAAATGCAGGAGTAGAGAGCCAAGCTCCCTGAAAATGGACTGGAAATTTCCCCTGGATTTTAAAAATAAATCAAGCCAGTGTGTATCTGCTTCATGGTCAAAGGTCCTTCCCCATGTATCTTCATGTGGGTAGCCCACAAGCACTTGTAAAAGTAAAGTGAAGTTGCTCAGTCGTATCTGACTCTTGGCGACCCCATGGACTGTAGCCTACCAGGCTTCTCCATCCATGGGATTTTCCAGGCAAGAATACTGGAGTGGGTTACCATTTCCTTCTCCAGGAGATCTTCCCACCCCAGGGTTTGAACCCGGGTCTCCCACACTGTAGGGAGATGCTTTACCGTTTGAGCCAGCAGGGAAGTCAAGGACTTGTTAACTATGAAATGACTTATAAACAGTGGCACTGTCACTGCTTCATTACTTCCAGATTGTGTGCTCTCACCATGACAGCTTATTTATTCCAATGAAATAGCTGGACAATAGAAAGCTGATTATAAAAATTATCTAAGTCTAATATAGTCAGATACAAAATTTTCTTCACAAGTACTCACTGTAAGGATTCAAGAATAAAGTACACAAAAAGTTCTCTGTTAGGAGAGAGGCACTGATTCTAACAGGGCAAAGTTTTTCAAAGTTAACTAAAATTTCTACAATGTAAGTGATAAAATTAAACCATGCAAAGGTCATTATTTCAATCCCAAAGAATAATGGTTTTTTCCACTTAGACTTAATCAGAAAAGAGATGGTCCTTATTACACAGTGCAATCTGGCAAAATTTCTTGTAACGCTATATATGTTTTAATGGTTGCTTTTTTTTAAGACTTAATTTTTTAAATTTAATTTTACTTTTTGGCCACCACAACGCAGCATGTGGGACCTTAGTTCCCTGACCATGGATTGAACTCGTGCTCCCTGCAATGAAAGCACGTAGTCTTAACCACTGGACCATCAGGGAAGTCCCTAATGGCTTATATCTTTTTATGTTAAGATCACAACCAAAAGAATTATAAAGTTGTCCACAAATTACTCCCCTTTAAAAGCTACAGGCATCCTGCAGCCCATTTCACTTAAGGTTCGTTATAATAATACCACAGACCCAAATGGAAAATAGCTCACCCCCAGTTGCCAGTTCCTCACACTGCTGCTTCTTGGATGCTAGGTCCTGAGCAGCCATCTCTAAGTCATACTGCATAAGTTCATGTTTCCTGCACACAGCCCTAGGAAAAAAATTTAATTTTTGCCATTTAATTTTTGTGGCCTCTCTAATTATTAACATGTTAAATTTTTCCCCAGGGAGTAAAGTGGAGGCATTCACGTACTATGATCAGAAGTTTTATATATAGAATTTTTAAGCTTAAAATGTAGTAGCCCAACATTAAAATGTAGTAGCCCAGATGGAAAACAACCTTTTTTGATTTATAAAGTTTTTATGCTTAGATTCTGCTAAATTAAATTTTTATCACATACATTTTTTAAAAAAGCTTTTTTTGTACAGCACTGGAACTAATGCTATCATCTCACATAACAACTGAATATTGTTTAAAAAGATTATCTCAAAGTTTTCTATTGAGAAATGTCTATTAGTTTTCATTATCATAAAAGTAATCCATGCTCACTAAAAAAAAAAAAAAAAGATTCTAATACAGGAATGTACTAAATAAGTTTCAAGAACACTTTCTTCTCCCTAGTTCTACTATCCAGACACAATTCATATTAATAGGTGGTATATATTGTTCTAGACTTTAACTAGGCATTTCTGAACTATATACCAAGGACACATTTCTTTATCAATATACATTCATCTTTTCTATAATCTTTAAGAGTTGCAAAGAATTCCATTGTGTTGAGCAACCTTCCTTTGGTAAAAGCCTGGTGTGACCTCTACTACTCAAAGCTCTAGAAGGAAAAAGGCTAACAATGTGATGTTTTCATCCCAGCTACTGAACAGCCAAAGGAATATTGTTCTTCTGTTTTATTAACAGAATTCTTACAATGATTTTAAAAGTGGCAGGAAAATGATTCACTTTTCTAAACTGGAATATCTCCCAGAGAATTCTGTTTGGCCCTGTAGGAGATACCACAAAAACAGAAGACAAAGTCCTGACGTTAAGAAATTTTACAATCTTACTAAGGAGATAAAATATGCAGGTATGGAAACGTCACAGAATTTAAAGGTAATATACAATCTAATGACAGATCATGATAACACACACTCAATGTGTACTTTGCTTCCAATCTCCAAGCTGGAAAAAGCAGAAAGAACAACATACAGACAGCCCTGAAGTCAGAGACTAACAGGTTTTATCAATATAATGTTTCAAATATAGTGACAGTGTTAAGTCGCTTAGTCATGTCCAACTCTTTGTGACCCCATGGACTGTAGCCCTCCAGGCTCCTCTGTCCATGGGATTCTCCAGGGAAGAATACTGGTAGGTTGCCATTTCCTTCTCCAGGGTATCTTTCCAACCCAGAGATCGAACTAAGGTCTCCTGCATTGCAGGCAGACACTTTATCATCTGACCACCAGGGATCAGGGTTGTCTTAAATTCCTACATATACACCATGGAATATTACTCAGCCGTTAAAAAGAATTCATTTGAATCAGTTCCAATGAGATGGATGAAACTGGAGCCCATTATACAGAGTGAAGTAAGCCAGAAAGATGAAGAACATTACAGCATACTAACACATATATATGGAATTTAGAAAGATGGTAATGATAATCCTATATGCAAAACAGAAAAAGAGACATAGATGTACAGAACAGACTTTTGGACTCTGTGGGAGAAGGCGAGGGTGGGATGTTTCGAAAGAACAGCATGTGTATTATCTATAGTGAAACAGGTCACCAGCCCAGGTTGGATGCATGAGACAAGTGCTCGGGCCTGGTGCACTGGGAAGACCCAGAGGAATTGGGTGGAGAGGGCCGTGGGAGGGGGGATCGGGATGGGGAATACATGTAACTCCATGGCTGATTCATGTCAATGTATGACAAAACCCACTGAAATGTTGTGAAGTAATTAGCCTCCAACTAACAAAAATAAATGAAAAAAAAAAAAAAATTTCCTATGTCTAGCACTCTGCAACAGATAGGAATACAGTGAGATCTCATTCAATATCTAGGGGAAGGAATTCATTTAAAAATCACCTTATGCTCTTTATTTTAGAGTAACAGATGAAGAGAGTGTTGACCAGCCATAGGACTGCATCTGGAACATGTATTATACTTACCGCAATGCTTCTGCATAAAAAAGATACTCCTTTAACTGATCCGCATAATGTTCTTCATCTTCCAAAATATCATCAATAGAAGATGCATATCTGTTTAAAAAATAATGTATATAGTAACTTTTATCAAGACACAAAATATTAATATTCTAAAGAGGAGCTATTCTAAGCATAGTCCACTGACCATTTGCTACCCATGAATGACCAAAGTACAAAAAATCTGAATAAGCTTTTAGAAACATTTATAGCAACTTTTTAATTGAAGTATACTTGATTTGCAATACTATGTTAGTTTCAGGTATATAGCAAAGTGATTCAATTACATATTTCTTTCTTTCAAATTTTCCATTATAGGTTATTACAAGATATTAAATATAGTGCCCTGTGCTATACAGTATGCCCTTGTTACTTATTTTATGTAGTTTGTGCCTGTTAATCCCACACTCCTAATTTATCCCTCCCCCCAACAGCAATCCTTAATTACCATGACAATTCTACGGAATTTTACCAAAATGTGTTTAGCAAGGGCTTGGTGATAAAGCCCTTGCTTTTTAAAAGAACAAAGCAAACAAAAAAATTGTCCTTCTTAAGGTAGCTTAATGAGCACTGTAGTATCTTTTGTTAAATGTAGTATAAAAAGGGCTACAAAATCTGTAGAAAGAATAAGAATTTAGTATAATTGAAGAATTTAGTATCCCCTGATAGCAACTACATAAAGTCAAAAAGCTACAGAAGGAACAGTTGAGCAAATAAAGATCACAGAAAATTTTAGAAGCGTTATTTTACTCTAATTCTCAGTAGCAACCTCTGCTTTGATCTGGACAAGTCCCTCACTGTTGTGCCATTCTTGTTCTGAGTCTTCCTTTGCACAGAACTATAGCGGCTCTCCATACTGCCTTTCCAAATCCTCAACACCTCTAGAAATCTCCCCAGAGATTTCTTGTTCATCACTCTACTTCTGATCTCTTGTCAAAAACTGAGAACTTAAATCTTATCAAAGAAATGTCTCTTACAGGTATACGCATTACTGAGTCCCTACACTGTTCACCTCAAACTCTCAGAACACTGTTTGTTAATCGGCTATACTCCAATACGAAATAAAAAGTTTAAAAAAAAAAGAAATGTGTTGTGTTGGTTTTCTCTGATCACCAGGGCTTTCCTCGTGGCCCAGATGGTAAACAATCTGCTTGCAACACAAGAGACCCAAGTTCAATCCCTGGGTTGGGAAGATCCCCTGGAGAAGGGAATGTCTACCCGCTCCAGTATTCTTGCCTGGGCAATTAGATGGACAGAGTCCATGGGGTGCAGCCTATGGGGTCAAAAAGAGGTGGACACAACTGAGCAACAACACTTTCTCTGATCACATTATAAATTCCTAAGGACATGGGCTATGTCATTTATTATTTCTGTAGGGTATAAGTAGCATTCTTTTTTCAAATTAATTCTGATTCCTTAGCATGGGCATAAAAGAAAAATATACTTTATGTCTCCAAGCCTGCTTCTACATGTAGTTAAGTAAACAAGTTTACTGAATTAAAAAATAAACAAAAAATCTAAGTTAATGCTCACTGAAAAGCAACATGCTTATAGTATTTATGAAAGTAGGCAAAATACATATTCTGTAAATATAAATTTACATTTGTGAGAGTGTGGACTTTGTCCTATGTGACTGAAAAATGTCTTGAGAATGTTGTTAAGAGTAGGAATAACTGTCTGTAGTTCATAAATCTACGATTCTGGAGAAGTTAATGTTAAGAAAACAAAAAAGAAGGTAAGCGGCTGGTGGCTTGAAGATAGGAAACACAGTGTGGATAAAGAGGCAAGTGGTAAAGATGTTTTAGATATTAGTACTAAAACTAATTTTATTTAACATTTACATAAACCAAGTGAAGGGATAATCCCAAATTCCTGCAAATACTGAGACTGTCCTGTCAACAGAATGCATGAAGACAACAAAATAGTTGAAAAGCAGCTGGTCAGCTTAAACAATAATCCAAAGAAAAATGATATTTAAATAAAATAAATATTTTTGTCTCTTTGTTGATCAGTTGTAGGAGTTCTTTATATATTTTGGTTGGAAATGTTTGCTCCCAGTCTGTGGCTTGCCTCTTCACCATCTTAATGGGGTGTGTTTTTGTGTGTGTGGTAAAATGTAACGTAAAATTCACCTTTTTAACAATTTATTGGTGTATATAGTTCAGTGGCTTTGAGTACTTTCATGCTGTTGTGCAACCATTACCACCATTCATCTCCTGAACTTATCTTCCCCAACTGACTATACTCCTACATTCCTTCCACTTACAACAGAATTTTTTGATAAGCCAAATTTTTAATTAATTTTCTGTGTTTTTTGGCACAACATGTTCCCTACCCAGGGCTCAAACCAGTGCTCCCTGCACTGGAAGCAGGCCGTCTTTCCTGCTGGACGATCAGGGAGATCCCCAAATTCTAATTTTGAAGAACAATTTACCATTTTTAAAAGATTGTTTTTCCTTTCATGTCCTTTAAAAAAAATCTTTTGCTTACTCGAAGGCTGCTAAAATATTCTATTTTCTACTAAAAGCTGTAGTTTAAGGTTTTATATTGATGTATATCATCCAAATTGAATTAGCATTTATGTAAGATATGAGATATGGCTCAAGGTTCCTTTTTTTTTAAATGATTCACTTTTTAAAAAAATTACTCATTTTCAACAGAAAAAATAAAATTTATACAGAAAAAATCCTGTTAACTGCTAATAAAGACAGTTTTCCATCTTCCTTTCTATGCTGGGTCTTTGTTGCTGCATGGGTTTTTCTCTATTTGCAGAGAGCGGGGGCTACTCTCCAGCTGCAGTGCATGGGCTTCTCGTTGCAGGGCACGGGCTCTAGGGAATGCATACTTCGGTAGCTGCAGTATATCGGCTAAGAAGTTGTGGCTCCTGGGCTCCAGAGCACAGTCTCAGTAGTTGTGGCGCAGGGACTTAGCTGCCGTGTGGCATGTGGGCTCTTCCGGGAGCAGGAGTTGAACCGGTGGCTCCTACATTGTCAGGAGGACTCTCTAATGCTGATTCAAAAGGGAAGCCCTCAAGGTTTAGTTTTTTCTTCCTATGAAGATATCCAGTTATTCTAGAACCATTCTTGAAATGAGCTATGTAAATGTAGATCTATTTCCGAATTCTACCCTATTCCATGGATCTGTTTATCTCAATATTGCCTGATAACTATAGCTCTATAGTAAGTCTTGAAATCAGGTAATACATTCAACTTTGTCCTTTTTTTCAAGACTGTTTTGACTACTTCATGTTCTTTGAATTTCTACCTACATTTTCAAATCAGCTGATTAATTTCTATTAAAACTTACTGGAGGTTTGATTGGGACTGTCATTTAGGAAGAATGCTCAGATTAACACTACTGAGTCTTCCAATCTATGAACATGGTTTAATCTCACCTTTTATTTAGGTATTTAGTTTCTCTCAGCAATGTTTATATATAAAGTTTTCAGTGTAGACGTCTTCCACACTATTATAAACAGCATTTTTAAGCTTTTATTTTCTAATTTTACTAGTATGCAAAAATGTTCTTTTCATATATTCATTATGTATCATGCATTCTCATTAAACTCAGCTGTAAGCTCTACAGTATTTTTGGTTGACTATTTTCTACAGAAAAATCCTGTTGGAAGGAGCCAAGATGGCGGAGGAATAGGACGGGGAGACCACTTTCTCTCCTACAAATTCATCGAAAGAACATTTGAATGCTGAGCAAATTTCACAAAACAACTTCTGATCGCTAGCAGAGGACATCAGGTGCCCAGAAAAGCAGCCCACTGTCTTCGAAGGGAGGTAGGACAAAATATAAAAGATAAAAAGGGACTCAGGAGAGCTACGGACGGAGACCCGTCCCGGGAAGGGAGTCTTAATAGAGGAAGTTTCCAATCACCAGGAAACCCTCGCACTGGCGGGACTGGGGGAAGTTTTCGGCAATCTAACTGGGAGGAAAAATTAAACAAGGCCCACAGATTACGTGCCTAAAAGCAACTCCCAGCAGAAAAGTACCCCAGACGCCCGTACCCGCCAGCAACAAGCGGGGGCGGGACGGAGAGGAGCGGGCGGCATTGCTTAGGGTAAGGACCGGCCCGAAGACCCTGAGAGCAATCGGAGGAAGCTTTTTTAAACTGTGGGATAGCAAGGGTCAAAATTAACAGGCCCGAACACACTGCCGGCGGTTGGCAAAACAAAGGGACTGAGAAAGTCCAGAGAAGAGCCGGCCCATCCCCGCTGGAGGTTGGAGGCAGGGGGGAGGGGAAAAGGGCAAACTCAGCCCCAGAGAAGCCACCCCCTCCCACACTGCAAACAGGCCCCCGGTTCCTATCTAAAGACTTCTGAGACCCGACTGGCGGTGCGCGCTGGGGCCGCGGAGGGAAAAGGCGCGCCGTACCCGGGGAGAGTGCGCCCAAGCCTCTGGCTGCCTGAGCTGCCCGCCGCGGCGGGAAAAGGCGCGCTGCACCCAGCGAGAGTACGCCCAAGCCTCTGGCTGCCTGAGCCGCTCACCGCGGAGGGACAAGGCGCGCCGTACCCGGGGAGAGTGCGCCCAAGCCTCTGGCTGCCTGGGCCGCTCAGGCCGGGGAAGGCACAAAACGCAGGCGCAACCGAATCTGCGCTTTTGTGGAGTACCTGAAAACTGGAACCGCACTCAACGCAGGGCCCGCTCCATATAGAGCAGCCGGGAGCCTGAGCAGTGTAGACGGCGAAAGCACTGACACCCGTGAGTGGGGCAAACCCAGTGTGACCGGAACACGGTGAGTGCTATCCACACAGAGGGGTATCTGTCTGCAGCGCCCCGCCCTCCCCGTAGCAGGACTAAACTGAACTAGAGAACCTAAATAAGAGATCACCTCCGCCCGCCTGTGTCAGGGCGGAAATTAGACACCAAAGAGACGGCAAACAGAAGCCAAATAAACAAAGGGAACCGCTTCAGAAAGGACTGGTGCAACAGATTAAAATCCCTGAAGGTAACACCGACTACACAGGAAGGGGCCTACAGATATCGAGAAGTGTAAGCTGGAAAGAGGAGCTATCTGAAATGGAACTGAACCTATGCTAACTGCAACAACTCCAGAGACATTCCTAGATATATATATATATTTTTTTTTTAATTAAAAAAAAATTTTTTTTCTCCTTTATTAATTTCTTTTATTTTTTCTCTTTTATTTTCTTTTAAAATTCCCTATTACTCCCCCATTAGTCCTCAACTTTCATTTTCATATATTTTTACGATTTTTTTAATTAGGGAAAAAAATTTTTTTTTTCTTTTTCTTGTTTTTCTCTTCTATTTCCTTTTAAAGTCCTCTAATACTCCTCTATTATTCCTTAATTTTCACTTTCATTTCACTATAACCTTGCCAAAAAAAAAAAAAAAAAACGAGAGAGAGAAACCCTATTTTTAAATCGAACTTCATATACATTTCTAAATTTTTTTGTGTGTTTTTGTTTTTAAATATTGTATTTGAAGGAGTCTAACCTCTACACTAGATTTTTAATCTTTGTTTTTCAGTAGTATGTGATAGAAATTTTGGTCATTTAAGAATCCAATATTCAGTTCCCATTTCTATTCAGGAGTGTGGGGATTACTCTCCCACTTTTGTCTCTCTGTTTTCTACCTCGGAACACCTCTATTTCCTCCTTTCCCCTTCTCTTCCCAATCCAACTCTGTGAATCTTTGTGGGTGTCTGGGCTACAGAGAACACTTTGGGAACAGATAACTGCGTAGATCTGTCTCTCTCCCGTAGATCTGTCTCTCTCCTCTTGAGTCCCCTTTTTCTCCTCCTGCTCACCTCTATCTCCTTCCTCCCTCTCCCATTCTTCATGTAACTCTGTGAACCTCTCTGGTTGTCTCTCACGGTGGAGAATCTTTTCACCATTAACCTAGAAGTTTTATTATCAGTGCTGTATAGTTGGAGAAGTCTTGAGACTATTGGAAGAATAAAACTGAAATCCACAGGCAGGAGACTTAAGCCCAAATCTTGAGAAAACCAGAAAACTCCTGACTACAGGGAACATTAAGGAATAAGAGACCATCCAAAAGCTTCCATACCTACACCAAAACCAACCACCACCCAAGAGCCAATAAGCTCCAGTACAAGACATACCACGCAAATTCTTTAGCAACGCAGAAACACAGACCTGAGTGTCAACATACAGGCTCTCCAAAGTCACACCTAACACATAGATCCATCGCAAAACTCATTACTGGACACTCCATTGCACTCCAGAGAGAAGAAATCCAATTCCACGCACCAGAACGCTGACACAAGCTTCCCTAACCAGGAAACCTTGACAAACCAATCGTCCAACCCCACCCACTGGGTGAAACCTCCACAAGAAAAAGGAACCTCAGACCACAAGAATACAGAAAGCCCACTCCAGACACAGCAATCTAAACAAGATGAAAAGGCAGAGAAATACCCAACAGGTAAAGGAACATGAAAAAAGCCCACCAAGTCAAACAAAAGAGGAGGAAATAGGGAATCTACCTGAAAAAGAATTTAGAATAATGATGATAAAAATGATCCAAAATCTTGAAAACAAAATGGAGTTACAAATAAATAGCCTGGAGACAAAGATTGAGAAGATGCAAGAAAGGTTTAACAAGGACCTAGAAGAAATAAAAAAAAAGTCAATTAAAAATTAATAATGAAATAAATGAGATCAAAAACACTCTGGAGGGAACCATGAGTCGAATAACAGAGACAGAAGATAGGATAAGTGAGGTAGAAGATAAAATGGTGGAAATAAATGAAGCAGAGAGGAAAAAAGAAAAAAGAATCAAAAGAAATGAGGACAACCTCAGGGACCTCTGGGACAATGTGAAACACCCCAACATTCGAATCATAGGAGTCCCAGAAGAAGAAGACAAAAAGAAAGGCCATGAGAAGATACTCGAGGAGATAATAGCTGAAAACTTCCCTAAAATGGGGAAGGAAATAGCCACCCAAGTCCAAGAAACCCAGAGAGTCCCAAACAGGATAAACCCAAGGCGAAACACCCCAAGACACATATTAATCAAATTAACAAAGATCAAACACAAAGAACAAATATTAAAAGCAGCAAGGGAGAAACAACAAATAACACACAAAGGGATTCCCATAAGGATAACAGCTGATCTATCAATAGAAACCCTTCAGGCCAGAAGGGAATGGCAGGACATACTTAGAGTAATGAAAGAGAATAACCTACAACCTAGATTACTCTACCCAGCAAGGATCTCATTCAGATATGAAGGAGAACTCAAAAGCTTTACAGACAAGCAAAAGCTGAGAGAATTCAGCACCACCAAACCAGCTCTTCAACAAATACTAAAGGATCTTCTCTAGACAGGAAACACAGAAAGGTGGTATAAACGTGAACCCCAAACAACAAAATAAATGGCAATGGGACCATACCTATCAATAATTACCTTCAATGTAAATGGGTTGAATGCCCCAACCAAAAGACAAAGGCTGGCTGAATGGATACAAAAGCAAGACCCCTATATATGCTGTCTACAAGAGACCCACCTCAAAGCAAGGGACACATACAGAGTAAAAGTGAAGGGCTGGAAAAAAATATTCCACGCAAACGGAGACCAAAAGAAAGCAGGAGTCGCAATACTCATATCAGATAAAATAGACTTTCAAATAAAGACTGTGAAAAGAGACAAAGAAGGACACTACATAATGATCAAAGGATCAATCCAAGAAGAAGATATAACAATTATAAATATATATGCACCCAACATAGGAGCACCGCAATATGTAAGGCAAACGCTAACGAGTATGAAAGAGGAAATTAATAGTAACACAATAACAGTAGGAGACTTTAATACCCCACTCACAACTATGGATAGATCAACTAAACAGAAAATGAACAAGGAAACACAAACTTTAAAGGACACAATGGACCAGCTAGACCTAATTGACATCTATAGGACGTTTCACCCCAAAACAATCAACTTCACCTTTTTCTCAAGTGCACACGGAACCTTCTCCAGAACAGATCACATCCTGGGCCATAAATCTAGTCTTGGTAAATTCAAAAAGGTTGAAATCATTCCAGTCATCTTTTCTGACCACAGTGCAGTAAGATTAGATTAATTACAGGAAAAAATTACTAAAACTTCAAACATATGGAGGCTAAACAACACGCTTCTGAATAACCAACAAATCATA